ACGTAAAGAAATACTCCTTTTAATCCCTATCATTGCTTGTATTTATTCCTTATATTTATTTTTATATATTATACAAATTGTATGCCATAAATTGTAGAAACCGCATGTATCATGGATTTTATATTCTAAAATCAAAAATTCGCAATGCTAGAAATGAAGATAATAATATAGACTTTGTTAAGAATATATATCATCAAAATAAATTGGTTAGCAATTCTGAAATTGAAGAAATTCTGATAAATATGGACATTATGTTAAAACCGGTCAGTTCTGTCAGACTAAGATTTGAAAGAAGAAATTAATTAAATTGTATAATATATATAAATGTAATATATATGTAAAAAATATTGTTGCATCGTGTGGGCGCAATTACGAAAACGATTCTAAATGCGCATCTCGCACCGAATCAAAGATGAGAGTCGATTTGCACGGAGAATATCCCCCGTCTCGTCCTTGTTGTCCGAACTCTAAACCCACTGATCGTGATAAATATGGGCAACGGCACTTGGCTAGGATACCGTTGAAGGCCGTCAACAAAATACTGCTCGCCGCGTTCTCGCAAATTAATAGGAAAACACGCATTCTTTTAAAGAATCCCGTGATAGTCGAGAAGTTAATGCGCGACATTAAATGTTGCACGTGTTGAAATTATCACCGTATATTTGATAAAATAAGTTACAATTGTTCATGTGTTTCGTGTAATGATGTGTAGTTAGTGGTACTGGCTGTATCTGAAGGAAACTTGAGAGCTTAGATCTTGTGAGTCTGAAAGACATGACTGCTTTTTTGGCATCTTTTGAACTATCCACGCAGACTGTAATGAGATTGGGAAAAGAAATGAAAAGGGCGGAGTTGAAGTATGAAAAGAGAAAGAATAAATACCCATTGATCAGGGATAGTTTATTGGAATGTTTAAACATTCCATGTGTGTTCCCTTTGTTCTAATGATCATATGATTGCAAGAACCAATGGATATTTCAAAACTAGAAACCAGATAATTCTTGGCTTATCGCGCCTAAGCGTCTACTTTCGCTATTTACTTATTGGCCGAATTGACATATTATAAAAACCCAGATACTAAGAATGGCTAAGTCCAGACAAAGGTGGCCATGCGTTTTTTATCTATGGATTTTGTTAATATCCAATAGGGTCCCATGGGTAAATATTTCCAATGGTAATATATGACCCTTAAGAGAAAGTACCGTGAACAATGCAGTGGCGTACGTGTGTATTAACAAATATATTATGTTTTTATACATAATAAATTCCGTACGTGATGACAGATCTACACCAGATATAAATTATTACACGTACAATCTAGGAACTGTAAAGAAAACTGTACAAAAGGTCCTCATATAATTTTATATAATAAGTAATCAATGGATAAAGACTTTGATGATCATTTTTACTGCTAATTTCTAAATTCTTATAAATTAGTTTTTTAGAAATTAGTAACATTTTAATAATGTATTCTTATAGATTTTCTTGTACGTGTTCGATTTTTGATATCAATTAATTCTTTCTCTACGTACGACATATCGTCGGGCAATGTATTAATTTTCTTTTAATGAGATTTGGGATATGGGAATGAACGAAATGTAACGATGTAAATGATCATTCATGGAAAGTGTAATACGGCCATTCAGTTCGTACTGATACTTTAACTTTACACAACAACATTCGACGCGATTTGCGGTAAATTTACATTATAATGCCTCAATCAAGACCATTTTTTGAAGAAATATATGCTTCACAAAGTTATTTCATGTTCATTGTGACTGATACAATAGAATTCGTCTGTAAAAACAAATTTCGTCTTGTTTATATACTTTATTTTTAACAACCAATTAAAGAAATCGTTAAGAAGAAACCTGAAGTATTCCTGTAAAAAAGTACGCAATATCATATAAATTTAATTGATCAGTGAAAGAATGGAAAAGAGTAGGAGCAAGAAGAAGAAAGAGGAAGATAGTGAGGATGATGAGATGGTAGAGGGAGATGGAGAGATTGATAGAGAGAATGACAAAGTGAAAGAGGAAGTACGATGTGAAATAGGAGAAAGAGGCAAAAGGAGGGATATTTATATACGATTATTAGATCACAATTCACATTATATAGTTTTCTCATGATCATCGGTTACGTGTGTCGTATATATTACATTCGGAGCCTTGGCAGAACTAAATAAAAATAAATGGTGGCTTACTTGTTATTATATGCATTTTCTTTCTCTCTCTCAAAAACACTCCAAAAAAAATCTACAGAAGAAATCATACGAAAATGCAGTTCGACCATATTTTTATCTACAAAGTTGGGCGAAACGAAAGATATTGGACCGAACTGTTGACATTCGATCCAGACGTATTTCAAACCATCGAAGGTAATTGATAAAATTTCCTAGCATTCAATCAAGGAGAAAGAAATTACACAGATATTTGCACATTCTCACAGATTATTGAAATTGCATTTCAGAAATTTATAGAACAAAATGTATTTAATTCTG